GGCGCGTGCGCTCGCCAGACAGACAGAGACATAGAGACAGAAAGCGAGAAATTGCCCCACAGGGGGGAGGGCCACGCCTTGGACCCTCGCCCACAAGCCATGAAAGAGGCTGCGTGGCCTCCTCACACAGCTTCCTTCTTGCCAGATGGAAGATAGACCCAAGGAGGCAGGTCCTTCTCCAAAGATGCACGCCCTGCTGGGAGTAGACTTGGGACCAGAATCTATCTCTCGGATTCCTAATTCAGTTCTTTCCCCAGTATGCCATCCTGAAGCTGCTGCCAGGGTTTGGAACCAGAGGTGGGTCAAATTGTGCCAGCCATCAGCAAGAATGGATCGCTGGGAATTCCACAAGAGCAGGAAAATGGCATTTTCCAGAACGCTTTTTTTATGAAAGAGAGAATTTTGCTATAGGGTGCATGCACTCACTGGAGAGACAGAGAGACAGAAAGTGAGAGATCACCCCACAGGGGGGACGGCCACTCTGCAATCCCTTCTCCTCCATTCTCTTTTTGGGATTTTGGATACACACGCGCATGTGCCCAGTGTGAGTTTCAAGTCACTGGGTCAGGGATTTGAACCACAGGCAGCTACATGGGAGACCAGCGACGTAACCATTATGCCATATGCTGGTCCCTCCAGAACCCCTCTTGGAGGGAATACTGCATGGGGTTACAAGTGTCTTTGGTCCCAACTCTGCTACTGAGAGTTAGGCAGGCTTGGTTTCCTCCTCTGGAAAGTGGGCTGAGAATAGTATCCTCTGCATGGGGGTGTCATGAGAATTAAATAAATCAATACTCATAAATTGTACTGTAGATAGTAAAATTTGTAAATACAACTGTTTTTTTTTTTTTGGAGAGATTTTCACTATAGGGCGCGTGCGCTCGCCAGACAGACAGAGAGAGACATAGAGACAGAAAGCGAGAAATCACCCCCCAGGGGGGATGGTCACGCCGCAATCCCTTCTCCTCCATTCTCCTCTCGGGATCTTGGGCACACACACACATGTGCCCAGCATGAGTTTTAAACCACCGGGTCCGGGACTCGAACTGCGGTCTACTACGTGGGAGTCCAGCAACATAGCCACTACACTAACTGCTGGTTTCCTGTAAATATAACTTTTAAATTTTTTTCTGAAATATTGGGGAGAGTTTGAAGAGTGCCCAGCCTTTGGCGAGGGCCTTGTGGATGTTTGGCATGATTATCGCAAAGACGTCTGGGGCTGGTATTGTCGGTGGGTGTGTAGGTTTGTGCCAGCATGGGACTGCTGAGTGAATAGAGAGGACCCCCCACACCCAGCTGGCTCCTCCTGTTCCTGCACACCCTCCCGTGCTCACCCCTGTCTCTAACACACGCCTCACAGGCTGCCTGAGCAGGGGCTGGAGCCGGCAGGGCACTCCAGCAAGGGCCATTGCTCAAGCCGCCCCTCTTACAGAGGGCAGGGTGTTTGCAGGGCCAGAGGAGGCCACCCTGCAAAGTGCTCAGACAAGTTCTTGTCCTGCCAGCACCTGGAAAACCTGGCAATAGTAGTAACCCTTCCCTCTCCGTAGAATGAAACTCCCAGGGGAGGGATCCTGATCCGTCCCATTTGGGATGCTCCTGAGATTCTAGAACACGCTGGGCAGGTGGCAGGGACGCAGTAAACACCGCTACAGGCATGAATAGAGGCGTGCCTCCCTCAGAGAGATCAGACTGCAGGAGGGATCTGGGCACTGGTCCCAGACACTGCAGAAATCAGCTCGGAACACAAACTCAGGCGCCCCAACTCCTCCCTCACCTGCCTCCAGATCCTATTGATTCCTCCACAGCCCGTCTCTAAGAACCAGGCCCCTCTGCGCCACCGTCTCTGCCTATCCAAGCTTTCATTTGCTCTCACCTGCAACGCTGCATTTACTCGCCTTCCACTCCCTTCCCTCTGAAACTAAAAGGACTTCCTAAAATTAAATCAGGCTGGGTCACTGTCTTGCCCCAAAATGTGCGAAATCTTACTGCCCAGGCTAAAATCCGGCTGCCACAGCAAGCACGCACGTACAAAAGCGCTCAGTGCCGTCGGTCATCCGAAAGTGCAAATCCAAACCCCCATGAGGTGCCACTTCACCCTGCTAGGGTGGTGAGGCCCGGAGACATGACGAAGGGTGCTGGGGAGGACGCGGAGAAGCTGGGCCCCTCGGGTGCTGCAGGCAGCGGTGCACGGCGGGGCGGCTGCTATGGAAAAGCTGGGCTGTTTCTCAGAGTTAAACATCTGACCCAGCGAATCCAGGCCTAGGCAAATACCCGAGAGAGCTGGGAACAGACAGCCACATGAAGTCCTGGACGTGAGCATCACAGCGGCATTAATCACCCAAGCGGGAAGCCACCTGTCGGCTGGTGAGCAGGTAAACAAACGGGGTGTGTTCGTGACGGAGAGAAAGGACTCCCGATCCCTGCCACGGCGTAAACGAACCTTGAAAATGATGCATTTTAATACAGACAGAGAGTTTTGACCCTGAGGACATTTTGTTTTATTTCGTTTTATATCATTTATTTATTTAAAAAAGTTGCTACAGGGTGCATGCGTTTAGGGCGCGACTAAAGTGAGACAAGGGAAGGGGGAGCGAGAAAACACTCCCCCCGGCCACACCGCCACCCTTCCCCTCTGTTCTCTGCTTGGAATTTGGGGCACACACACATGCGCACCTGGTGTGTCTTTGGAGCTGCTCAACCACACAGTCAGCCATGGGATCCAGCTATCGGAGCCACCAGCCACTGCTGGCCCTTATTTTATTTCACCTGTTAGAGGGGACATGTCACTCGCCAGAGAGTGACAGAGGACAGGAGGGAACGTGAGAAAGCACCCCCCCCACCACCATGGGAAATGGTCACACCACAATTCTGTCTCCATTTCTCCCTTTCAGGATTCCGGGCATGTATACCATGTGCCCAGCATGCCTTCTGAGTCCAGGTCTGGACTCACACTGCATAGTCAGCCAGGTGGGGTCCAGATGCCTTCACCACCATGCTGCAGGCTGGCCTGAGATTTTTTATTTGGAGGGTGGGGTGGGATTTTGCTATAGGGCGCATGAGAGACAGAAAGCAAGAAATCACCTCCCAAGGGGGATGGCCAGGTTGCAATCCCTTCTCGTCCATTCTCCTCTCAGGATCTTGGGCACGCACGCACATGCACCCGGCATGAGTTTAAGCCACTGGGTTCAGGACTCGTACCACAGTCGATTACGTGGGAGGCCAGCGACATAGCCATTACACTAACTGCTGGTCCCCTGGTCTGAGATTTTAAACATAAACATTTTAATCTGACTTATACCAATGACTGTTGAATTTTCATCAAGGAACTACTTCGCAGAGCAAACTCCATGGAGCTTCAATAAGCCCTTGATCAATTTTATATTTTTTTTTCTTTGTGTACGTACGGTATTTTTCTTTTGGTTGATTTTGGTTTTAGTTTTTAGATTTCGGGCTGTTTGTGTGTTTTTAGGCAGATTCTCATTGTGTTACGGTCCTCCTTCCTCAGCTTCCTGAGTTGCTGAGATTGTAGGTGCACGCCACTGTGCATTGCGCTTTTTAGGGGAAGCCTGGAATTGAACCTGGGCCTTCCTTGTGGCCCGAGACTGCCCAGCAGCAGTGTCTGGCATGTGCTACCATGGCGGAACCACTCGTCAGCTTCTGAGAGCACCATTAACTGCATCTGTCACCCCCACTTCCACTGGGACTCGTAACTTTCACGACATACAGACATCGCTTGCACTCATGGCTCCTGGCTCCCAACTATTCGGTCTTCCCTTCTTGGTTCCTAAAGCTCCCCAAGGCACAGCCTCGTCTTCCCCACCTCTCTGTCCTATATCTGAAGAAATTCCTTGATTGACCATGTCTGGTATTAGATTACAAGACCTCATTCCACAGGGTCCTGCCCATGCCCTGGATTAGGGAATCCCTCCCAGAGCGGCCGAGAAGAATCTGAGCAGACAGGCCTCGCTGCCTTCTCCTGGTCTGTGGCCGTTAGTCGGACCCTTTATGTCCAATCACGTTTCTACACGGTTGTCCGTGCTCCAGTCACGTCTGTGCAATGAAATCTCCATAAAGAGCCAGCAGGACTGGCCAGAGGGCTTCTGGACAGCTGGCAGGAGAGGCTTGCAGGGAGGACTCAGTCACGCGCAGGGAAGGTGGCACCCAACTGCACTGGAAGGAAGAGCCTGAGCTTGGGGCCCTTCCAGCCCTCACCCTACCTACCTCTCCATCTGGCCGTTCATTGGTGTCCTTGAAATGATCTTTTAGGGGCAGCCAATGCTGTGGTGGTTGAGGCATCTGGACACCACATGGTCAACTGTGTTTTTTGAGTACTGCACCCGGTGGCCTGAAAAACACACTGGGCACACGTGGGCCCCCAATCCTGAAAGGATAGAGAAACAGAGGAGAGAGGATTGCAGTGTAACACCTGCTTTCTCAGCCCCCCTCCCCCCGTGAACACATGTGGCCCTGGCGGGGAAGGGGATCGTCATAGTGAACTGTGCTTCTTTGAGCTGCTCTAGCGACATGATGAAGTTTATAGAGGGGGTCATGGGAACCCCAACCTGTAGCCAGTCCCAGAGGCCTGGGTTTGCAACGGGTGTCCAGAGTGGGAGCAGGTTTCCGGACTGAGTCCTCAGCCTGTGGGACCTGGCGCTGCCTCTAGGCAGGTGGGGCCAGGACCGAATTGGCTGCGAGAACTCCCAGCTCGTGTCTGCTGCAGGACTGACGCTGGGTGGTGGGGAGGAGTCCCCACGCTTTTAGCATCACAGAAACAATCTGTGTTATGAGCATAGAGGAGAAATTGAGGCTTTTCTTTTACCATATCCCCTTCTGTGTCTACCCAGCTGTTTTCTTGGGGGACAGTTTATATGTCTCGATGTATCAGGAAGCTTTAGCGTCAGGTGATCACGCGTTTTCCCTTGTGTAGCAATTGCCCTTCTTAGCTTAATTTTGTCACATTATGCTAACAGTAATATTCATTGGGGATTGAATACAAGATTGCTCGATTACATTTATTTCTCCAAAATGTTCAATTAAGTTTTAAGTAGATAGTACACGGGAATGGTAGGAAAATCACAAGCAGGACGCGAGGGGACCCAGAGCTAAGCCTGTTCCCCTCCTGCTGGCTGTACTTCCCACTTCTCCTCCCCAAAGCCACAGGTGGGGCTGCCCAGGAAGCTGGCTGCACAGGGGACGGTTGGCAGAGGCTTATCAGGGAGCGTCCCGGCTCAGTGCCCGCAGCAGAAGCCGAGGCAGGAGGAGGGCCGAGGGAGAAGGCCGGCTGAGGTGTGGGCCCAGGGAGGGCTCAGCTGACCCCTCAGAGAATGTCCCCGTTGGGACAGGAGGGGTGGGGCGGGGCGGAAGGGTTGACAGTCTTCATGTCCCGAGTCAGTCAGTCAGCTGAAACATCCCCTCCTAGGGAGACCTCAGAAGCAGTTTCTTCTATCTAAGAGCCATCCTCCCTGGGCCCCATCCTCCCCGGGCTCTTCTGCTTCAACCAGCAGCCCCAGAGTCAGGGGTCAGTCCCCAACAAGGCTGTGAGGGCCCAGCATGGAGACCACCCTCACCGTTACCTTTGCTCCCTTCGTACCCTTTGTAACCAAATACTTTCCATTTTTTGGCCCCATACTCCAGGGAGCCGCTCCCAGGCAGGATTCGCTGCATGGAGCCTCTGTCTCCAGCCGCCCCCTCTCTGCCTCGGGGGAAGCCCACGCAGTGGGGCCAGCCGGTGAGCCTCAGGCAGCCTGGGGAGCGAGAGCCTGTGGAATCGAGGCTTTTCTCTTTCCTTTCTTCCTTTTTTTCCTGAAACAACTTCCCTGGGCTCAGGAGTTAAAAAAAGCACCCATATGTCATTTTCTGGCAGTCAGACGGCCCAGAGTGCCACTCGGCCTCCCAGGTTTCACAGCGGCAGGCCACTGGCTTGGCGAGGCACTTGAAGGCCATCACGAACCTGCTATAGGCGGGCTCGCCAACCTGCAACGTGGACTGAAGGCCGCCCAGGCCACGGGAGGCACCCGCAGGACCAGGAAACAGGAAGCCGGATGGAATGAGTGTGCAGGGGCCCCAGGTGGGAGGGGACGGGCCACCTGATGCTGCTGGGGTTGCCCACGGGGTAAGCCCCTGCCATCCTTTGGAGGACCCTGGCCCTACCCCAGGTGTGCCTGAAGCTGACTCACCGCTCCCTGCCTGTCCCCAGCCCCATGGCGCCTGTCCCAGTCCTGCAGAAGGAGAGAGTGTTCCAGTCGGGGTTCCAGACCTATAGGATCCCCGCCCTGCTCTACTTGCCTCAGCAGAAGATCCTGCTGGCCTTCGCAGAAGAGCGTGTGGACCTGGTGGATGAGCACGCGGAGCTGATTGTCCTGCGCAGAGGAGTGTACGATGTGAACACCCACCGGGTGCAGGTAAGGCCGAGGTGGCTGCAACCACCCCATGGGGCTCTCTCCACGCAGCCCGTGGCCAGCGTGTGTCGGGGAGGACAGGTGTGGGTCTTGTGGAATACAGGGATCCCATCCCTGCCCATCTGGGGTCTGGGGACAGAGGGAAACACACTTGGAAGCCCTGGAGGAGCCAGGGACCATTCAGGGTAGGGCAGAAAAGATGCCCTGGTGACCTCAGGCCCTAGAGGGGTAGTTCACCATGATCTCACTGCGGCTTGCCTCCCCACGCAGAAGGGACCTGGGAGCGGGGTGGGGAGGTGATGGGTGCTCCGTCCCAGCTCGTAGCAGGTGCCTGGTGAGTGCATGCTAATGGGAGTAGAGGTGAAGTGACATTCAAGAGGAGTGCAGGGTGCCGCGGAGGGAGTGAGTGCAGCCCCGGCTCCACCATGCGGGACACGTTGTAGGGGACATGAGCGTTAGGATGACCTTAGATTCTAACCCCACGAGACGCACCCACTCCCAGCTGTCCCCAAGAGTGGCCGTCATCGTCACTGGCCTAAAAGGTTGTGCTTCTCCCTCTTCCTCTCTCCTGGCATTCAGTGGCAAGCTCAGGAGGTGGTGACCCAAGCCCGGCTGGAGGGCCACCGGTCCATGAACCCATGCCCCTTGTACGACGAGCAGACGGAGACCCTTTCCCTCTTCTTCATTGTCGTGCTGGGGCAGGTCTCTGAGCACCACCAGCTCCAGACCAGGGTCAACGTGACACGGCTGTGCCAAGTCACCAGCTCTGACCACGGGAGGACCTGGAGCCCTGCCAGAGACCTCACGGACTCTGCCATCGGCCCAGCCCACAAGCAGTGGGCCACCTTTGCGGTGGGCCCAGGGCATTGCCTGCAGCTGCACGACAAGCCCCGCAGCCTGGTGGTGCCTGCCTATGCCTACCGGAACCTCCACCCCCACCAGCGGCCGTCCCCCTTCGCCTTCTGCTTCCTCAGCCACGACCACGGGGACACATGGCACAGCGGGAACTTCGTGGGCCAGGACAGCCTGGAGTGCCAAGTGGCTGAAGTCGGGGCTGGGGCGCAGAGGGCGGTGTACCTCAATGCTAGAAGCTTCCACAGAGCCAGGGTCCAGGCCCAGAGCACCAATGATGGACTGGATTTTAATGAGACCCAGCTGGTGAAGAAGCTGGTGGAACCTCCCTATGGCTGCCACGGCAGCGTCGTCAGCTTCCCCAGCCCCCGCGCAGGGCCGGGCGCCTCAGAAAGATGGCTGCTCTACACCCACCCCTCTGACCTGCATGAGAGGGCCGACCTGGGTGTGTACCTCAACGCGCAGCCCCCGGACCCGGCAGCCTGGTCGGCACCCGCTCTGCTGGCCGAGGGCGGCTGCGCCTACTCAGACCTCCAGAGCATGGGCCCTGGCCCCGACGGGTCACCCCTGTTCGGGTGTCTCTATGAATCGGATAATTATAAGGAGATCATCTTCGTCCTCTTCACCCTGAAACAAGCCTTCCCAGGTGAATTTTAGCCTCAGTCACGGCCGATGCCAGAGCGAGAGGCTATTACGTTGCTGTTCTTTTGGCATCCTCCGGACTTTGGAGGGAGGCTCTTGGTGCCCGTCAGTGAGAGCGTGCAGAGAAGGGGCGGTGCTGGTGCAGCCGTAAGAGGAGCTGGTTCACATCTGGAGACCTCCCTGAGCACACTGGCACACGCGTGCCCGAGACCCAGGCCTGGCTGAGGCGGGGTGGGTCGCAGTGTGAAGACCTAGCTGAGGGGGCCGTCTCTCTCTCTCTCTCTCGTCTGCTCGCCCTCTCACTTGCTGTTGCTCAAGGAAGAAATAAATGTTAAGCTTTTAAAAAGAGGCTGTGTGGCGAGGTCTGCCTCTTGGCTCATTTCCTCCTGCGACATTGCAGTCTTTCCAGAAGATTCTATTTTCAGCCCAGGATTCTGGCTTTTCATAGCCCCTTGACAAGGCTGACGTGGAGAGCTCCATGTGATGGCTGTCCCTCTGCACAGCAGCTGTCCCTCTGCATGGCACCTGTCCCTCTGTGTGGTGGCTGTCCCTTCTGTGTGGCAGCTGTCCCTCTGCATGGCACCTGTCCCTCTGCATGGTGGCTGTCCCTCTGTGTGGTGGCTGTCCCTCTGTGTGGCACCTGTCCCTCTGCGTGGCGGCTGTCCCTCTGCTTGGTGGCTGTCCCTCCGCGTTGGGGCCTGCCCGT